CGGCTTTTCGTTTCTTGGGGAGTCTTCTATGACCACTGCGTTAAATGGTCCATTCCCTTGGCTTCATTCACCTGTTAATTCAACTCTTGCATCTCCGGATCTTCACTGGTCATCAGCGCCAAAACCGCATGCTGATAATCCTGCCATAAACTGAACCCTGGTTTTGAAGACTCCGTTCGGTATGGCAGAAGATTCTCCGAGTGCCACGTATTGATTCGAGATAGGTAGCCAGTAGGCACTCTTGATCCTTCTCTGCAAAACCCGCATCGCTTGCGATAGTCATACTTCTTGCACCAACGACAAGAAATCCCAGTATCGATACAGAGTGAGCAATTAAAGAACTTGCATGGGAACTCGGTCTCCGAAAATAGGTCCTCCGCGTTAAAGGTCCACCAGTCCAAATCCTCTGAGAATTCGCGATACGGCGGCTTGGTTTGTATTTCTTGGAAATTTAGGCCTCTGAGGCAGCAATGGCCGAGACTTTCCGAGAAGAATTGGGGTGCTGTGCCACCTGGACATTCTAAGCCCCAGTCAATCCTGGAACAAGATTTCCGACTGCCACAAAAGCCCGCATAGTTACGAGCCTTAGCCTTCTTTAATTCTACCCTTGTATATATACCAAGCAGATGGGTACGTCTTTGGTCAAATATGCAAAGGTTGGGGTCATAACGTCGAACAATTTCGTGATTTGTCTCCAGGTCCTGGAGGAACTGCTGCTCGTAGGCAGAGCTACCGTCTGCTGAGAACCAGTTCATATATCTATCTCTTCGGAGTAACCTGCAAGTTTCTCCCAGTTCGCGATCAAGTAGTATATCCAGACAAATTCGCGCTTCCAAAAGCCAATTTTTGACCATGGTCTGATTCAAAAAATTTTGATAGAGCCGATAAGTCATGGAATGTGGTCTATCATCCGGCTCTCCTGAAATTGCATAGCAAAGCTTTTTCGGTAACACAAACTTGCAACCCGAGATTTTGGCAAGTGGCATAATTGCAATGTCGTAATCGTAATACGCGGTATTCGTCGATTCCCAGTTAAATCCCCGGCTCTGGCCTTGTGGCAACCAGTCCCCTATTAAACCCACATGAATCTTGAAATTACCGCTTTGGTCTGCCAGTATAGTATCGGCCAGGTCATTCACCTTTAGCCACAAGTTGATAAGGCGGCCAAGGTCCCGGGACGGGCCATGTCTGATGGCAATAGCCAGTGTTCCTGATTCGGTCTTGGTGTGAGGGAAGTTAAGGTGGTAGGCTCGCATCGCGGTGCTGTCTTTCAACACCCAAGTACGATTGACCCATTTTGAAAATACCTTTGCGGTCATATAGTGGCCCTGGAAATATTGAGAATTGATCTGAATACAGTGCCGAATACCCCTGTATAGATGAGAAGAAATCTCTTTGTAGAGGTAGCGGCTGCAAGAAAGAATAGAAAGTGGATTTGGCGATGGCAAAGTTGGATTCTTTAGAGTCGATCGAATAGTCGCAAAAAGGGCTTCCCATATCAGCAATCGTACCTCAACCGGCAATTTGAAGAAACTGCCCAACTGTTCCCTGGTGCTCTCTTTGGGTGATTCCGATGAATCCATAATTTTGATGAAGCTTGAACAAAAAAGAAATGTAAACCTTGATTCTTATCAAATGAGTTGATAATTTGTCGAGGGACTCTCAAGCTCCGGCGTAGAAAAGGTGAAGAGATGTGGTAGATCAGTGCGAAGCAAATAAAACTTGTGACACGAATATCTCGGGTCCAACTACCAAGAGATGCCATACTTACTAGTCCTGCTAGCTTTTCACAATGCCGCTCGCACATTCGGACTCGGAGCCCTGGGCCGTAAATCGGCTTGATATTTCGTACTAAGCCTCTTCAAGCCCCGCCATCCGATAGTAAAAACGATCAAACACTTTAAAAGAGGCTTGGCACCGAGTACTAAATGGGCTTCGGTCTGGGGAGTCTTGGGAGCCTTGGAGGTATATTCAAACATACTACCGTATGTGGCCTAGCGCGGGCCATGACGAAAGAGAAAGAGAAAGAGCGGCCGAGGCACTCCCCACTCAGTCTCAGTCGATTGCGACTTCGCCTTCACTTTCACCTTCACTTTCACCTTCACCTTCGCCTCTTCTCTCCTCCCGCATACTAGTATCAACTCGCAACCCCTTTGAACTCAACGCACAAAAGACATGGCGAACGTGGCCCTCATCGGATCCACCGGCATGGTGGTAAGAATTCAACCCCCAATCACCCCCACCCACTCGCCCCAGGCATCATCAGCGAAGCCAAGCCTCGAACTAACCAATCAATCACCACAATCAGGGATCCCACATCCTCTCCAGCCTCCTCTCCAATCCGGCTGTTAGCCGTGTCGACACTATCTCACGTCGCACACCTAACGTCGCCGGCGAAGCTCCACAAAGCAAACTCACCACCTTCGTCTCCGGCGACACCGCCACCTGGGGCGCACAGCTCCAGGCACTCGCTCCGACGCCCGGAATCTTTATCTCCTCGTTCGCGACAACCCGCGGTGCTGCAGGCGGCTTCGACAACCAGTACAAGATCGAGCATGGGCTGAACGTTGAGCTGGCGCGCGTCGCTAAGGAAGCCGGTACTAAGGTCTACGTCTTGATTTCTGCTTCCGGCGCAAACAAAGCTTCCAACATTCCATACTCGCGCATGAAGGGCGAGATCGAAGAGGACGTCAAGGCGCTCGGCTTTGAACGGACGGTCATCCTTCGCCCTGGCTTGATTACTGGAACTCGCGAGGAGAGTCGGCCTCTGGAGGCTGGCATCCGCTTCATCGCTGGCTGGGCTGGCAAGCTGCACTCCGGTCTCAAGAATGGTTGGGCGCAGGACGCGGATGTTATCGCCAAGGCGGCGGTTAACGCGGGCCTGAAGGCCTTGGAAGGCGATGTTCCTAGCGGCAAGGAGCAGGTATGGAGTATCGATGGCTCGGAGATCATTGCGCTCGCGAAGGAGTAAATTGATTGATGGTCCTGTTGGGTACAATTCCAGTTTATAGCCCGTTCAGTCGGGCATCTTTACGACATATCATTATTCCCATAATTTATGCGAGTTAGTTTTGAGTAGTACAATCAGACAAGTAAATTACACTGTATCTATTAGGCAACTTGAACTTGCTAGGATGGGCAAAATGGATCGATTGCTCGGTGCAATTCTAGGACAGGAGATTTATTGTATACTACCACTACTATGTAAATAGCTCTTTCTTTAGGTCTGGATGTCTGACGCATCCCATACGGGCGACGAGACTTCACTAATCTGACAAGCCAACCAGCTCCAAAGAATCCTTCCACAGCCTCGCCTCGTTCTCGGGATCAAACGCATGCGGCGCCGATTTCCCCGACATACGGTCACCATCTTGCTCGCCCATCTCAGCCTCAGAGCAGTCATTCAAATACAGACCCCCCTCTACCCTCAAGGTCCCTCGAAATAGCGGCATAAATAGTTGTTGCTGCTCCCTGGTCCAGGTTTTTCTGAGCTTTAAGCATTGCTTCATCTTGCAGCATACCCATGATCTCTTCGCTGCTCAGTTGACCAATGATCCCAGTGGCCGCAATTCCAGGATTGAGACTATAAGCATGCAGACCTTGGAGTCCGTAGCGACGCTCGATCTCGTTGGCCATGTAGACATTCGCCGTTTTGGATTGCGCATATGCAGCCCAGGGATTGTATCCACCATTCTGATAGTGGTAGTTGTCAGAGGAGTTGATGCCGCCAACACGATGTCCAGCAGAAGAAAGCATCACAACGCGAGAGTGGAAGGCTGAAGACGATCCTGCCAATAGAGCCGACTTCAGCAGGTTGAAGAATAAGAAGTGAGACAGATGGTTTGTTGCGAATTGCATCTCATGCCCTTTGTCGGTCAACTTGAGGTCTGGAATAGCCATGACTCCGGCATTGGCGATGAGAAGGCTGATTTGACTCGTTTGGGATAGAATTGTTTGAGCAGCGATCCGGACGCTCTCGAGTGAGGCTTGATCCATCTGGACGAGAGTCATTGTGCTCGAGTCAAATATGTCCGCCAGTGCCGCTTCGGCCTTTTCGAGATTTCTCGCAGTGAGGTACAAAGTCGCACCAGTCGCTGCAAGCGCTCTGACAGTCTCAATACCGAGACCCGAAGAAACGCCAGTCACGACGGCAACTTTACCGGTGAGTTTGCCTTTGAAGCCCTCATCTTGGACTATTTGGAGGGCGGTTGGGCGGGCATCGCCGGGGCCTTGGGGGTCGATATGAGCTGCAGCGTAGCGAGACATTCTAGTATAGAATGAGAAAGATGGTTGAGTAGTAGAAAAGATGTGAGCGTTGGAGTTTATGAAAAGAAAATAGGAAATAACGGAGGTTTGCGTCACTTTAATAGCCTTCCTCTTGCCCTGCTATAACACATTCAACCTCTATAGAGTGGATCAGCTTGAGGAAGCTAGCTGACTGTTATTCCCAAACTAGGAATGGTTTTTATTTCTTTAGATTGAAAGTCCAATTGTTCCTCGCTGGCCATTCTGCCTGATACAATGCCAAACAACTTGGATAGAACTAGCTGACCAATTTAGACTGGTTGGGAATAGGTTAAATCTCTTCCCGTCTTCACTCCTTCCTCCTCACGAACTAGCTGACTGGTTTGCTCGACTTGGGAATAGTTTAATTTAAATTTTGTCTGTGCTCATGGGCCCTTCTGCCTGTGCTCGTGTGGGTCAGAGGGTCAGACCATAGAACTAGCTGACCGATCTGGCCTAGTTGGGGATAGGTTAAATTCCCGATCATCACCTCCGCATCCACCCTCCTGGATACTATAGGAGGAGCTAACCTTGGGAACAGAAATAGACGGGTCTAGCTGACCGATTTCGCCTACTTAGGGATAGTTCGGCCCCCACTAGCCCCACGGGGTGGACCGCTCTTTTCCGGGGCTGACTTTATTACTGAATCCGAACTAGTCAGGTGTGGTTAACATCCCTGGCCACCGCTTCACCACCCCCGTCTATATCACAAAACCATGTCTACCTTCACCTGGGCCATCCCCAGCCGAAGCGGCGCTGGGTCCACTAAGAATGATGATCCCAAGCGCCGGAGGAAGATCCAGAACCGCCTTAATCAGCGAGCCCGCCGTAAGTGTCGATCATCCCTATAGTTGTCTCGGCTGGGGGACATGAGACAGCAAGTCACTCAAAGAAAACATTTTCTAGGATCACGTCTCCAGCAACAAAACAAGCAGAATGGTAAAGTCGACGATCCTCCTTTCCGTGTCCATCGCTGGAAACTCGACGACCCCGAGGATACCGAACCATCCCCCCCCGAGTCGTCGGTGTTGACGTCGGCGTCCCCTCGGACGAATCCCAGCAATCTACGCCTCCACAATTCCATCTCACACTCCGCCCTGTATCACCCAGATCCTCTGCAAGTGAGACGACGGCTTCTGAAACTAGCATCGTCCCTGCAAGAAGAGACCAATCAGCCAAATCCAAGTCATGCATAGCGTCGGACCTCTTACTCACTATGATTCAACGAAATGTCGCCCGCGCCGGCTATCAGAACTCAAACATCATCCTACCAGCTGTTGCCGCCTTCTCAGCAACCGGTGAACCCCAGCCCCTTGACAGACTTTTGACTGTATCATCTATTGTGCCCATAACCGATGGTCTGCCAGATATGTTAGTACCAACCGACTTGCAAAGAAGGATCCCCCACGCCATCTGGATCAATGGGATTCCCTGCCCGAAGATGCGCGATAACCTTATCCAGTGGGAGTACATGATAGACTCTACCGAGTTCTTGTATGACCTTATGGGTAACTTGTTAGAGCCCGAGGTCCCTTGTTTCCGTCCGTCAGGCTCACCCATACAACTATCGGCATTGCCAATGAATCATGACTTGAGTCTTTCGGGTGATGAAGAAGACGATTATACGGCCAGTCGTCATGGTATGATTGTATGGGGGAAACCTTATTTATTGGACAGTTGGGAGTTGACCCCTGCCTTTGTGCGGAAATGGGGGCGCCTTCTTGAGGGATGCGATGAGTTGATTAGGTCGTCGAATCGATGGAGGGAATCTCGTGGAGAAGAAAAGATTCGCATCACCGAGTTGGAATACTAGTAATTACTATTGATGAACATAACGTGTACATCGGGTGGATATATTGGTTCATATTGATGGTGGATCTTGTCATATTTCGAGATAAAACGTCCCGCAAAAATCTCTCCTGTGTCTCTTTTTTTGGTTGATAGGACGCATGAACTCAATCTACTAAGATTTGCATATTGTAGTATCAGGCTGTCATCAAACTTAAACACAACTTGAAAGAGGTAGTAAGGGCTAGTAGTGACAGGTAGTTATATAGCACGGGGGATAAGGATGCACACACTATCGATACGATACATGCGTCCCATCCTCTTTGACATGGATTGTCCGTCGTTTGTTCGGCGAGCCCCTCTTGCTTGAAACTCCTCGATCAACATTCCTATCTGGACCACCCTCGGTTGGTCCCCGCCATGCACTCACATCCTTGTTCGCGGGACTCATGTTGAGTGATCCTTTCACATTCGTCGACTTGCTCTCGTTCTCCGTCGCAGCAAGCTCGCTTTCCGGGGCAGTATTCGTGGGGTCAAATGCAGAATCATGATGGGCAATTTCATTGTCAGTCCCTGACTTGGTGACTTCTGATCGCTCGGGCCGCAGTTCTTCGCGATCGATATCTTCCGGGGGTTGTCTTTTTCGAGCCGAGAAATGGCACTGAAGGGACGACCGCTCGTGGTCGATGGGGTTATGCAAAGTGCAGCGACGCAATTGCGGGGTGTTGCACGAGTCGCCTGCTGGCTAGTGGAAATGAGGCTCTTCCACATGATAGATGTACTTTTGTTCTTGCTTAGAGAGACAATCAAGCTTAGGTTTGAATGGGTGATATGGCTGGCGTGCCTTTTTTTTTATTGCTTCTGGGGTCGATGAGAAGAGAATGAATGACCTATGGGAAAGGGAAAGAAGACATTAAAAGATCGAGAGCTACGAATTCCGAAGAAGTGACAAATTCCTGGTTGTGTCCTAGCAAATCCAGAATAAAATGTTCTATAGATCATATTGACGTCACAAAGGGCTAACCCGATCCGGTAATAAGCTTACCTTACCAGCATCCATAGTTAGTGAACTACGGTTTTTTAGGAGCACTCGATCACTGACATGAACACTCCATGGGTAATCAAAATTGCCAGTATGATGAGACTTCTTGGCGGCGGGCTTTTGATAACTTACTAGTAGGCCATGTTGGCAATCAGTGAATCGAGTGAGCCTGCCACGTCAACAAGAGCGGCACCACGCCGTTTCGAGGTTTGATCTCAATATTGAGTCACTTCGGACTTTGTTTGCTTGTCAATATATGTAATGATTAGTAGAGTTCAGCCCCGAGGTAGAGGGATAGTTTGGGCGAGCAAAAGCAAAAAAAGAAAAAATGATATCCGCGTAAAGCAGGCCAGGAATCGGAAAGCTTGCGTCAGTGGCATTGCCTGACTGCAGCGCGGAAAAGGGAAATGGATGTAAAAATAGGCAGAATAGAAACTTTCCAAATTGAAAGTGATCAGCGCATCGCATCTGGAAACTCGAGAAGCACGGAAGCGAACTTCCGCGCAGGTTCGCACACATGAAAGTGGAACTGAAGATCTGATCCCACCCAGCAACAGTGGAGCTGGCACCTGGCAATATGCGGATGCGAGGGCCCGCATCGAGACGGTCTTCAATCGACCAATAGGCCTAGAGCTTGGCTTGATTCGGAGGAGGCGCTGATGATATGCAGCAGTGGCCCTCGTACATGAAGTGGGTGGGGAAAAGGAGTGCTAGCTGCATATGACCGACATCCCAGTCAGGGTTTGTTATTGGCTACTGCACTCGGCTGCAAAAGAGGTTCCCTCCGCTCGCCGGCCAATCTGGGCGCGTTGACCCAGGCCGGGGGCGGTGGCCCTCTGGCTTTCGAATCCCAAAGCTTGAAGAGCCGGCCACCATTTGTTACGGGCGGCAGAGACATGCGCGTGGCAGGTGCGGGAGCCTCCGTTCACTTTAAGATCACGGGATCAGAAGAGCCCAGCGCAGTGGGAGCGTGTATGCGCGCCTGAGAATCCAATTTCAACGTTGGAGCATGGGTGACCCAAGTCTATGCCACATAAAACGAGGGAACTATAGCACTGACTCGGACTCGATAGCTCTGAAAATGCTTCCGACAAGTTTGTTTGTTGGGCAGGAATCATATCCACTCTTTTTTCATAATTTTTGAGCACAATCCTGGCCAGCCGGAAGTCGGGGGTCCCCCAGAAAGAATACGGCCATTTCGGTAATAAGACGGGGCGAGAGGAAAACGGGCAGGGGGGTTGCTTGGAAAGCTGATTCGAGAGTGTGAGAGCCGATGCAACCACTTCTTTACTCGAAATGGATCAGTCCTCTCCGAAATTACGCCCTCTGGTGCTGTTCACGGGCCTTCAGGGATGTCCGGCTGCCAACTCAACATCTCGCCATGGATCAACTTCCTGGGTCCAGGCAGCGGGCATAATGAATGTGGCATCCTCCGACGATCTTGCGTTATATTGATGAGTTTTCGTCCGGTGGACCAGAGGACCAGGCCGGCTGAAAAGATCGAGTCACTTTCCAATTCCAGCGGAGATAGAAATGAAAACAAATTAAGTGACCATGATGGAGGATGCTCAATGACAGGGGGTGGAGGCCTGGATCGCTCCTGTGGAGCTTTCATGGAATCCATAGACGTTGCGCTCCCCGGCCCACGGCCTTCCAGTCAGCCTTCGCTAACAGGAATTGAGAGTCTCCGAGCCAGAAATAAGGTGCCACGTCAGAGTCTCCGAGCTTTAGTGCAGCTGCATGTGGTAAAGTAATATGTGGAAGGTGTCACAGTTCGTGTCTGCGATGCCCGCGCCGCAGGGCACTAAGATCCTATCATCTTCGCCCAAGCGGGCAAATGGATAATTATGAGCCATACACCTGAGCGGGGGCAGATGCAGCATCCCTCCTCTGCAGATATGAAAGATCAGCTGAACGAAAATGGATCTTTCCCGTCCAAACCCCAAACGGTTAATGAGGAACGAGGGAAACAAACCCAATTCTATGGCCCGTGTCCCTGAGTGCAGGAGGTACCACTCATTCGAGCCTCAGTGACGCGACTTGTTGCCACCCGGGTGAGGGACTATTGGCTGAGAGGCACGGAGCGGAAGGATGCGGCGGCGTGGGACGAAATCAGGTCGCAATTCTTATCCTTGCAAGTAAGGCTCGGCAAAGAGACATGATAGAAGGACACCAGTAACGGGTCACAGTACACGTTCTGAGACGAATTCCAATCTGGAGGATTGCCCAATGCAGTAAACGTAATAGTGAAAGCAGAGGCATCGACGGGGCGCAATGATGCGGGCGTGCATGCGTATGCAATCACACAGACAGCAGCGTGGGGTGTGGTGCTCCATGGATAGAAGAAGGGTCTCGGTCTATCGGCCGTGTCGAAATTCCAGATAATAGGTATATTGAACCCAATTAAGAGTGGCAAGACTGGGCAGCAAGAAGAAGTGGGAAATCAGGAAAACCCCTATTAGGGAGTGGAGTCACAGGGAACGTGCAGTTCTGTCACATTCGGAAATAAACGCAGCTTCATTTTGCTTGGAAACCAGGCAAACCCCGGGAGAAAGCCGTCTGATAATTGCATCAGGGTGACAGCTGGCAGAGATCGAGAGCGACTCAATGATGCAGGATCAACGATGCACAACGCAACACGATCACAGGAGTATGCTTCCATGCGAACAATATGCACCTGAAGGCGGGGAAGTGCAATCTAGCGACGGCATAGCTGCAGCGGTCGATACCAAAAAGTGGAAGAGGACAGCCATCGACTGAGGGATTTTCCACCTGGCGTACATCATCATGGGGACAGAAGTTGCCACAGGCAAGAAGATGCATGCATGCTTGAAGCAACGGTTCATCCTTGGTGGCTCCATCCGAAAGAAACCTTGGGCATCTTACCGTCTCCACTACCAGGAGAAATGCTGACAGCCAACCGGATCAACCTCAACCAGGTCGTAAGGTGAAATCCGATAGATGGGAAACACGGACGATAAGCCGTCCCGCACCGATGAATGTCGATCAGCAGGACGACGACACGAACTTGGAGGGACTCTAGCGGTGACATGAAAACATCCACCGAAGCATAAATAGCAGTTTCGATCCCCTCGACAGGATGTGGAGTTCGAAATCATCCCCCCAGGTTCCAAACTAAAACACTCAATTGAGTAGTTGAGATCCATAGATATTTCCATTGGAAGGAATTTTCTGTTTTGTTGAAAATTGTTTCGCCTCCTTTGAGCCACTCAAAAGCTCTTGATCAGAATTCTGTCGAGGCTAGCCTATCAAACTCGTTAGAGAAGTTTAGGATAGGTCCGGCAAAAAGACCAATCGTGTGCCATCAGTCAACCTGAAACAAGGCTCAAGATCCGACAGCAAGTGAGTTTGATCGCACCGTCGCGTTGAATGGCACTAACACGGCTGATAGGCATGTGCTTTTACAACCAAAAGCGATTTTCGTGTGGGGACTGGAGCTGGACCAACTTCGCCCATCGGTGCAATTACGAGTATCGCACAGGCGAGACTTGTGGTATGAAACTCGTGAACATGACCGAAAACGAGAACAGCAAGTGCCGCCTCTGTGAAAAGATTGAGACCAAGTTCCGGCGGCGAAGCGCCGAGGTCGACCGCCTGGAACGGTGGAAACGTGAGGGGGCCACTCTTGTTGCTTCCATGGACCGATCCCAGAAACTCATAATGGACTTGGACAAGGAAATTTACGTCTTGCAACGGGAGCGTGAGGATCGACGCACGACCCTTACGCGATAATATGTGGCTTGTATCGGCAAAACCTGGTGAATTTTCCTTGGGCGAACAGCGGCTGTATTGACATGTCCTCTCATTTTCATTGTTTTTGTGTTCTGTATCCTCTTTCTCTTGTCTTTTCCTGGTTGGAAGCTTGCAGAACTCGTTCTTTTTCTTTTTCTTTTTCTTTTTCTTTTTCTTTTTCTTTTTTTTTCGTTTTCCTAATACCATTCGCCGGGGGGGGGGGACGTTAGGGATGTTTCATGTACCACACAAGCACATAGTCTGTGACATCAAGTCCAAATCGAATTTCTGCAATGTGACGAGCATCGCCGCCTGAGAGGGTCTGAAAGTCTGAAGAAAAACATCATTGGCTGTTCTGAAGTAATTCCCCTTTTTCGATAGGCTGTCGAGATCCAATGGATATATTGATGGGGCCTAGTCATGTTATAAGCGCCCTGGTCTTTGAGTGAGCGGTTCGCTGAGACGGCCCCGGGTCTCATAAAGGGGTAAGAGGGGCCCTTCAGCTGCAGATGCCCGGGTGAAAAGCCACTGGAGCCTGAAGAAGATGAAGTATTAGCCACTCGATCATGAGAGAAGGTCAGACAGTCTCGCAATGGAATCGGCAGGGAGGAATGTCGTCAGGTGGATGGTGAAACCCCCTCCTTCTAAAGAAACCCCACCGCATCACGTGCCATGTATACATCTCAATGGTATGTCAGCAATTGATGCCTGAGGTTTCAATTGGGCAGTACTAACTAGTCAGCAATGGATGTAAACATCATATTAGTCGAGTCTATCCTAAGGCCTGATGCACACCTGGGCGCCTAGGTACTCATCAGTTCCAACTCCCAATTCAGTCCACTGGCACGGGTTAGTATTTTTCAAACCAGAGACTCGTCGGATTCCCTCATGCCAGGCCTGGAGTGATGTATATATTGGGTCCGGGTTAGCAAGAATACAACCAGCGGGATTCAAGTAAGGAAGACAACTTGAACATCAACGGATGTCACAAAAACACTGGCATTCTTCCATGGATACCTAGGTATATCCAAGTACTACTAGTAGTACTAGTAGGTAGAGGAAGAACTTGAAGTGGACGTTCCTTCAGATTCAAGTTGGTGGCTGAAAGCCCAGGGATGGACTGGCGGCGCGGGGATTATATACTTTGCCGCGAGATCTTCAGGGCTGCACCGGAAAATTTATGGACCCAAACAAGAACCCAAGCATCAGACTACGTGTACAAGTTTGCTCGATCCTACTGCATCAAACATCATCAGATTGGAGACAACAAGGCACTTGTTGAGACTTGACCGGTGGGTGTCTGCCACGTCACCGACCAGCAACACCTGATGCAGTCATCAGCAGAAATCACCGGTTCGTACATGGTTGATATTGGGAGCACGGCGATAGTAGTAGATTGTAGCTCTTGATTTGCAAGTATTCAAAACACAGACGAAGGTATTAATCTATTTTATGTCGCCTGCCTCGGGCTCATCATCGACCTTGGCCAGCCCTTGTTCCCGCAGCAGGGCATCGATCTCATCTGCGCTCCAAAGGTGGTGGTAGATCTTGCCATCCTTGGTCTTACCCACCGTTGCGAATTCGACTGCGTAGCACGAAAGACTTGGTCAGCATTTTTGCAAACGATGACGATTGTCAAATGGGAAGAGGGAAAGTCTTCGGAGGATACTCACTCTTCTCACTGCTGAGCTTTGTCGAATCCATCGTCTTGCTCAGCACCTTGACGGCCATGGCGCAAGCCTCCTGCAATGTGGAGTCTTCCTTGTAATCTTGCTTAAGCAGACTCTGTGCGCTGGCATTGTTTGCACCAACGCTTGTCGCCTTCCAACCGCCGTAATTGCCACTCGGGTTGCTCTGGTACAGCTGGAATTGACGAAGGTGATCCCATCCAGCGTAGATGAAGGAGACACCGAACGGACGGAGACCACCGTGCTGAGTATATCCTTGCTTCAAGTCACACAGTCGGCGCACGAGCTGCTCGCAGGAATGTCTTCGTTGTAGGTGAGGAGGTAACGTTGGGCATTTTGACGGGCGTAATTGATGAGGATGTTGGCATCGGCGTTCATACCAGCAACTGCGCAAATCATGTTACTGCAGGGAGGAGTTAGCTCAACGATGCAAAAGCAGCACTAGCCATCAAGGCTGCGGTGAAGACCAAGGGATTTCGATCGACGTACTCGTTGATTGTGTAGAGCTTCTCGGCGGAGGTATCCTGCTCCAGGAGCTTGCTGGTCACCTTCCTCTCGGCAGCGAGGACAATGCCATCCTTGGCTAGAATACCGAGGGCAGTACCAGCATGGGAAATTGCCTCAAGTGCATATTCAACCTGGTACAAGCGACCCTCAGGGGAGAAGATGGTGGTCTACCGAACATCGTCATAGGTTAGCTGGAGCTGTTGCAGCGACCGAATAGCGGGGGCCGACCAACCCGTGAATCATATCGGCGAGACATGATGTATACAATGCAGACGTAAAAAAGAACCCAAAGCAGTAGTCGAGTTGAACGAGGTCGTGAAGGAAGAGGGGGGATGGATGAAGGGTGGTTAAGGTGACTGGTGACGGTAACGGTGAGCTTCAGCAAGTGCAAGTGCAAGTCCAGGCACTCGCCCTGCGCGTCCTTTGGCTCTGTCATCCGCCAAGCTCGGACCACCTCACTACACCAAAGCTTCGCCGCGGCTTTGCGCTTCTACATTTGAGCATTGCGCCACGGGGTTCGCCTCTTCTTGATAGTTTCTTTTTTTTGGGAACAATTTGTCCACCACTCCAATATGCTGAAATCCACATATACATCACTACCTCTGCCCCCAGGGTGGACGGAGCACCGGGCGCCCGCTGGTTGGTGCACATCTTTTGGTTAACATTGAAGATTCTGGCTAACCAGAAAACCATAGGTCAACTGTACTACTACAACTCGGCTACGAAGCAGTCAACGTACACAAGGCCTCAAGTGTCATCGCCTGCCCCTCAACCCGCACCGACCGTCCCTGAGCCTTCTCAACCACTTCCCTACTATGCGCCAGAAACTTTACCACCCTTTCCTCTACGGCATATGGCCCAGCAGGGTACGGGCCTGATGGGTCACAGCAAAGTGGACACCAGCATGGCCATGGGCATGGCCGAGGTGGTTTCCGGGGAGGAAAGGGTTATCAGGATCGTGGGCGTCGTGAGCCTCAGGATCAACCCAAGTCGAAACATCCCATACCAGATTGCGCGCCTTGGGTACTCGTGAAAACCAAGCTGAAAAGACGTTTCGTTTATAATCCGGAAACCGACGAAAGCTTTTGGAAATTTCCACAGGAGGTATTGAAAGGCGTCGTCGAATACGATCGTTTGGAACGCGAGAAGAAAGAGAGAAGAGAGCGTGGCGAAGAACCCGAGGAGCTTTCCAAAGATACTGTCCCAGAAAAGACGACACAGCAACCAGAGAAGGCCATTGAAGCTCCCACGCTGATCCAACCGGCACCCGAACAGTTAGGAGGCCCCGAAGATAGCGACGAGTATGAAGAGGTCGAGGTTACAGATAGCGAGTATGAGGACGAGGGACTGCCATCGAAACGAGCACGGACTGAGAGTGAGGCTCCCGACAATAAGCCAGTGGAATTCACCGAGGAGGATATGGCTTATCAGCTTGAGGCCATGGGAGAGGACTATGGTCTCGACCCGGAGGAATACGGTGAACCCGGAGAAGAGGACTGGGAGGACGGTGCCCAGGGCCTTGAATTGACCGATGCTGATGCCGAAGCACTCTTCCGCGATCTTCTCGATGACTACAACATCAATCCTTTCACGATTTGGGAGAACATCATTGAAGAGGGACGGATCATCGAGGATTCTCGATATACCGCACCCGGAAACATGAAAACTCGACGTGAGATATTCTCGAAATGGAGCAGTGACCGAATCAAGGATGTCAAAGAACGCAAAGCAAAACAAGAAAAGCATGATCCTCGCATCGAATACTTGGCATTTTTACAGGAATACGCTACACCCAAACTCTATTGGCCTGAATTCAAACGCAAATACCGCAAAGACAAAGCGATGAAGGATTCACAATTGCATGATAAGGACCGCGAGAAGTTTTATCGCGACTACATCTCTCGTCTCAAACTTCCCGAGAGCACTCGAAAATCGGATCTTTCCGCTCTGCTCAAGTCGGCGCCTGTCCACACCCTGAATCGGTCGTCGAATCTCGAAGCTCTCCCAACAATGATAATAACGGATATTCGATACATTGCACTTCCTGCTCAAACCCGGAACCCGCTGATCGAAGCCTTTATCTCTACTTTGCCGCCAGCACCGGATGTACAGCTGACAGCTGAAGAGCAGGAAGAACACGATCGAAAACAAAGGGAGCGGGAGAAGCGTGAAAGGGCCCTTGCGGAGAGAGAAAAACAAGTCGAGGATGATAAACGAAGGCAACGCGGGGATCTTCTTCGCGGTAAAAATCTCCTCCGTGAAGGTGAAGCAGAAATAGCGGAAGCTATGCAAGTCCGGAAGGATGGATTGCGCAGTTATATGGAAGTCGATGATGCGCCAGCTGAAGCTGAAGAGACGTATGCCAAATAACACCAGACATCATTCTAGAAAATGTATATATTCAATCTGCTACTAGTTCCAGCATGTTTGTTCAGGATGGGTCATAAAATTGGTTATTCGAAGCTCTCACATGCGGAGATGCGACTAGTAGGTCAGGTTATAAAGTAACAGACGTCTGGTTATTCTATCGCAATGTATCATTTCAATTTCCAAGGGTATCATCGTAGATTAGAGGAGGCCTGATCTCCATTTTTGTGAATCGTCATTTTTACCATGAGAAAATCATTTGAATCTCCAGTCGTCCCAATCTTCATCATCCTCATCACTTTCGCTCTCCTCCGCTTCTCTTTGTTCTTCGGTAGTCATTGGCTGGTCTCGTGCGCCATCCCGAGCGCGTTTCTCTCGCAGTTCCTCTCGCATTTGTTTCAACTTCCGCACTCGCTCCTCGAGCTGATCCATTTCATCGAATTCCTCCTCCATGAACCGAGCGGCATCCTCACGCTCGCCCTCCAACTCTGCTTCTCTCGCGTTCTTTGTTGATGCCGCCTCTCGTTCCTGCTGTGCGGCCAGCTCCTCGTTGGTTACCGGGGCTGCAGATATGGTAGCTTCTGCTGCAAGGGCTGCAGGTGCCTGTGGAAGTCGCGTCGGGGCCGCGACTTCGCGTTCGAACGCGGCCCACTCGTCCTCGTCGACTGTGTGAGAAGCTTGCGTAGCGTCGGTAGTTGTCGTCGGTTGCACAGTCGGTAGAACAGTATCTTGGTTGGATTCGTGTGGTAGCTCCGGTCCAGCGGTGTCCACCTCGTCTTCTTCCTCCAAGACCTCGTCGGAAGTAGCGTCCTGGGGACTGGGCGACTCAGCATTCTGTGCTTTGGCGACGGCTTCCACTGTCTCTAGGTCGGTCGACCGCAGCTTCTTCCGCATTACGCCATCGCCATTATCGACCTTGCGCTTTTTGCTGACCCGATTGCCAGTGGTATTGGGTGATGAGCCCTTGCGCGAAGCTAATTCATTCCGGAGAAGCGACCGGACGTCCGCCATGATTCAAGAGAGGATGGTATAAGATTGGCCGAGGAATTTAGAGGATGCGCACAAAGTTCGGTGGACTGGTGAAGAGAGTTGAGTTGGAATTCAAACTATGTAGTTTCAGGTTGATTCAAAAGTGGATTTTGCCTCGGTGGAGACCTTAAGGTAAGGTATCCCGCCTCATCGCGAATTCCAAGATATCGATCATGTGATGGAGATTACATAATCTAAGAACTCCCTTGGCTGGTCACACAACTCCCTCTCATCATTCCTTCATCCATCTCCGACTCACCTCATTCACCCAAATCCACTGGAGGGGCCATTAAGGACACCCCAACGAGCCATCGCTAGTCTCATCTCTAAATTCGAGAGTGTTCGCGTCCGAAACATCACGCGACCCCGCTTTTCGCTCGGCGCAAGTGACGCGCAAGGGATCGCAGACCCTCTCAAAACACGACCAAGCGCACTTGCCACTCTACACCTGTGCAAGAGTATCAGCGCACAGTTTGGAAGCGGCGGCTCTGGTCATCAAGTAATACTCTGGACCAGGCACCAGGCGGCAGCGTCTTCTCTTGTGTATCGCTCTCTTTTTCTTCATTTCCTAGCCCTTTGAGCCCGTAGAGACCGTTTTGTGGTCGCTGGTCAGGCGCATATCGTCGCTTTTGAGCAATCGCAGACTTTATTCTCCATTGCGCTGTAGCACACTTCGGTGTTCATTATCTCCCATGGCTGGTAAGCTCTTGTACACCTCCCGGGCAGACCTTGCCCTTTCAACCATCAACGGTGGAAGGCAGGCAGTAGCCTCGGCTCACCAACACGCGCTGGACAACACCAAGCTAACCTCAATGTCAGACGAACCACGACGCTCAGGCCGAGCCACCAAAGGCCAGCACAAGAACCTCGAACTCCCAGCCGATTCCCCCGCGAAGAAAGGCAAAGTGAAAGGGCCGAAAGACAAGAACAGCAAAGCCTCCGCCGAACCGACCCCCGGACCTAGCGAGGATGGGGAAGAGGAAGAGATAATTCGATGTATCTGCGGCGAATACGAGGAAGAGGAGGATGTGGAGCGAGACATGATTTGTTGTGATCAATGCTCTGCGTGGCAACACAACGACTGCATGGGCCTCACATTCACCAAGGGCCAGGAGCCTGATCAATACTATTGTGAGCAGTGCCGACCTGAGAACCACAAATCACTTCTCGAGAAGATCGCCAGAGGAGAGAAACCATGGGAAGAAGTCGCAGACAGACGAAGGAAGGAGGCCGAAGAAAAGAAGTCCAAGCGCAAGAAGGGCAAGAAAGGCAGCCGGAAGAGTCAGGGAAAGACGGAGACCAGCACACCAGCTCGAGCTGGCACTTCTGCAACACCTGGTCCTGGCATGTCTCCTGCCCCAGCTGCTTCGGTATCAGTCGAACCAGAAAAGCATGCCCAGGGCACAGACTCACGAAGGTCTAGCACAAACAAGCGCAAACTTGAGGATAACACAGAAGCGCATATGGTAAGTGGTCATTTCCTTCACCACATGAGGTACAGTACTAATCTCCACCTGTGACATAGGAACCTCAAGTCAAACAGCAACGGATTTCTCCAGAACCCGCTGAACAGACACCGGCGAGAGAAACTCCCAAGCCTAAGACTGAGCCCACTCCCGAAACACCTACGACGATGGGTACTGTTGAAGATCTAGTGCTCCCGGCACGGAAGCGAGCGGCCACTGCGCTGATCAAGCTATTTGTAGAACAGCTTGCGGAGTCTCAGAAGACAGGCGTTTCCCCACTACCCGCTGGAGAATCAGCAGAGAATACTGGACGTCAACTTGGTCTTGCCATTGAGGATGCCCTGTATCGGAATCTATCTGGACAGACGGGTGAGCCCAACGAAGGATATAAAACGCAGTTACGAACGATCGTATTCAACGTAAAGAAGAATCCTTCGCTACGAGATCGGTTGCTCGTAGGTAGTCTCTCCTCAGATTCCCTGTCTAGGATGAAGCCAGAGGAGATGGCGAGCGAAGAACTGCAACAAAAAGATGCAGAAATCAAACGTGAATCAGAACGACAACATATCATTGTACAGGAACAAGGTCCTCGTATTCGACGAACGCACAAGGGTGAGGAATTGATCGAAGACGAAACTCACGCCGCAACGGAATCGGTATTCTCTGCACCGCCTCGCCGTGCTACTGAAGTGGAGGCTAGTCCTGGAAACCAAAGCCCATCCTCTTCAAAACAGCAGCAGGGAGCCAAGACAGAGGCACATGGACGAGCACCCTCGCCAACCGGTGAACACCACGACCATGTGTTCCCCGAAGTCGAAACCAACATTCGCGAACCCGTGCCTCATGGCAGAATTCAGGCCGATGCTGAGATTGACGATCTACTACGTGATGACGAGCCCGAATCCCCTCCCTACTCGCCAAAGGATTTCAATGAGGATGGGATTGTCTGGCGTGGCAAGGTTGCCATGGCGTCTCTCGCCGAGTTCATGTCCTCTGCCAAGCATGTTGGAGGTGCAGACCTCAGTGGTCGTATTCCATGGAGCCAGCTTGCGCCGTCGACATTACTGGTTGATGGTCGCATTGATATCAAGCTCGCCAGCAACTATCTCTGTGGTCTGCGATTCAGCTCCTCCACCGACGTGTCTGTGATTGCGGTCACTAGCCCTGACATGCCCAGCGAGAAAGCGGGCTTTGACAAGCTTTTCGAATACTTCCAGGGCCGTAAGCGCTATGGTGTCATCGGACAGCACCCACTTTCTGCCGTCAAGGATACCTACATTGTTCCTATCGAGGCCGGTGCCACGACCAAGCCTGATTTCATCGAGCTATTGGAGAACAACTCTCTTGAAGGTCCGATCCATGAACGCATGCTGCTAGTTGTCTTCGTGGTCAAGACCGGCGATTCAAACCCGCCCTCTGTTCAACCACCCTCTCATCAACCCAGTCTCGAGCCAGGAGCCACCGCCAGCCCCCTGACTGCCGCTGTTGTCACGCCTCAGCAGCCGAACTTTGGCCCCCCAACCAGTCAAACACCACCCAATTTCGTGTCTGGTCTTGCAAATACCGCAGCCTACGGCCAGCAAAGTGCAACACAGCCGACTCAGCCTTCCGCCACTACAGCTGCCGCTACTGGCATTGCGGCCGCAATTCAAGTTCTGGGCCCCCAAGTGAATGAGCCAGCCATCCAGCAACTTCTCAAAACTGCACCCAACGTGGAAGTGGCGCAGTTGAACGTTGTTCGTGACATTCTAGTCCGACAGCCAGCTGCAGCAGTTAATTATGATACTCTCATGAATGCGCTCTTCGAGATTCAGCAGAACGGCAACGTCCCGCAGGCGAATGCCTGATTCATGATATCTTTACGACCATTTGTTATCTTACCATGTACTGTACAGTCTAAATTAGTTAGTTTTTTAAGTTAGTGTTGATGTCGTGGGACCTGAGGCTGGTTCGCCTCTTTAACTCCCACGATGTGGTTATTCATGGAACAGTGCGGATACCCACGGTTAACGGGCCCTATGCATCTGCCCGCCTGCAAAAACGGATCTTCACTATTTGTTTTGTTTAGTATCTCATTAGGTGGTTTTCCTTGTGTCTATTTTGTCTTATGATGGATTGCACGGTCTCAATCGAAACAATTTGAGCTAGTCCATTTCCTTAGTAGTTTACGCCGCTCCCATAAGGCTCTGCCATCCCAGTGATGCCAGTGATATTCTGCCTATAAACAGCTTGAAGTTGATAAGTAATGCGACCATGCAGTCATAGTCCTTTCCTAGGTACGGGATGAAGTGAGGGGCCTCAAATACAGAAAGGACTAGTCATGATGGTATGTTAGTGCTAAATTGCCTAGTAGTCAGTAGCTAGGGTTCTCCAGTTGACCCAACTCACCCATGCATTGCCGTGGTTCTCGCTGCAACCCGCACCCCAGATCTATAAAGGATCTTCCTTCTTGAGAATTCAACTCCATACGTTAAGACCCCCTTCGAAAGGTATCGACACTGTGGATTT